AAGAACAAAGTTGGAGAAATCATGCTACCTAATATCAAACTATACTATAAGGTCATAGGCCATAGTAATCAAACACAGCCTGGTACTGGCATAAAAACAGACACACAGATCAATGGAACAGAATAGAGAGCCCAGAGATAAACCCACACCTTTGTAGTCAACTACTATTTGACAGAGGAACCAGGCACATACAATGGGCTAAAGATAGTCTATTTAATAAATGATGTTGGGAAAATTGGGCAAATTGATGCAGAAAAATGAAACCAGACCACCTTCTTACACCACACACAAGAATAAATTCAAAACAGATCAAAGACTTAAATGATAAGACCTGAAGACCTGAAGACCTGAGACCAAAAGACCTGAAACCATAAAAATCCCAGAAGAAAACTCAGGCAATGAAATCTCAGATATTGCTTGTAGCAATTTTTTTGTCTGATGTATCTCCCCAGGCAAGGAAAACAAAAGAAAAAATTAACAAATAGTACTTCATTAAACTAAAAAGGTTTTGCACAGCAAAGAAAATCATTGACAAAATAAAAAGACAACCCACAGAATGGGAGAACATATTCTCTGATATGTCTGATAAGGGGTTAATATCTAAAATTTATAAAGTACTTGTAAAACTCAACACTAAGAAACCCAATAATCCAGTTAAGAAATGGGCAAAGAACCTAAATAAGCACTTCTCCAAAGAGGACATACAGATGGCCAATGGACAAAAGAAAAGTTGCTCAACACCAGTAATCTTCAGAGAAATGCAAATAAAAATCACAATGAGATACCATCTCACACCTGTCAGAATGGCTATCATCAATAAATCAGCAAACAACAAGTGCTGGTGAGGTTGTAGAGACAGGGGAATCCTTTTGCACTGCTGGTAGGAATGCAGACTGGTGCAGCCACTGTGGAAAGCAATATGGAGATACCTCAAAAAATTAAAAATGGAACTGCCTTTTGACCCAGCAGTCTCACTTCTGGGAATATATCCAAAGGAACCCAAAACCCTATTTCAAAAGAACATAAGCACCCCTGTGTTCATTGCAGTATTATTTACAATCACCAAGATATGGAAGCAGCCCGTGTGTTCATCAATAGATGTGTGGATAAAACAACTATGGGATGTTTACACAATGGAAGTCTACTCAGCCACAAAAAAAGAAGAAAATTTTACCCTGTTGCAGCAGCATGGATGGACCTGGAGAACAATATGCAAGGTGAAATAAGCCAGTCTGAGAAAGACAAATGCCATATGATTTCACTCTTATGTGGAATCTAAAGAACAAACTGAACTAACAAGCAAAACAGAGACAGACTCATAGATGGAGAGCACATGACAGCTAAGGGAGGGCAGAGGTTAAGGGGTGGAGGGATTGAGTGAAAAGGAAAAAGGACTCATGGACATGGACAACAGCATGCGATTGCTGGGGTGGGAGGGGGTTTTAAGGTACTAAATGGTAATGGAAAAAGTATAATAAAGATTTTATATTAAAAAAAGTTGATGATGAAATTATTCCCTAATGTTTAGAAGAAATTACATACAACCAAAATATCACTTTAGCCATTACTTCACCTAATTGCTATACCTGTGGCCTCCTAGGCAATACTTAAATGATATTCTCCAGAGCTAACATCCCTAAGGTCTTGGTGGCATCTATATGTAACACAGTTTGGTGTTAAGATTCAGCTTTTTGATCTCCTTTTCTCTCTGTCATCTCCTAAATTTATTTATAATAGATTTGAAAAAAAAGTCATTTCCCTTAAATATTGCAATGTACTGTAGACTCCTATTCATATTTTTATGGGTTTGTTAGTACATGATTTTTAAACTTGAAATCTTAGCACAAACTTTTTGGGAGTTCATTAATTTTAGCAAAGAAACTTTATACATGAGTAAGTCAAATTCTTCTACACTCAGGTGAGTTGATTTACTCTTATTTTATTTCAATTGAGAAGGAAAGTAATGTATACCAGCAATCTTTGCAGGAGGCAAACACATGCCACTCTAACTGCCAGGATGCCTAGTTAGCCGACGGCAAGTATCTGAATATTCACTGACTTACATACTAAGAAAGTTTCAGTTTTTGTTGATCACAATATTCTTATCTTTCTTTTTATACCTGCAAACTTCAATTTTTAATAATAAAAAAGAATTATATGTTGTAATATATCATTTGTCACTAAATATATTATTTCTCAAATTAATTCTCAGAAGGGAAAACTACTGTGAAAATTTCACAATTTCATAGTTTCATAATTTCATAGTTTCTACAATGCCTATGACAGTGCTGAGCAAAGAGTGGATGTGCAGTGAGAAAGCCACTCCAGGTTAGATATCACTGGAAAGAAGGGAAGTTGTGTGCACAGCACCTGGAGCTCTCAGTCAGCTGGACGTGTTTGACACTTCGTGGCCTAAATGGGGAACTGTGAACTTTGGCTCAAAGTCTGATGTTGTAAATACAGAGGGCAGGAGAAGGAGTGAAAAGTCAGACACATGGACAAGATATGTGGGTAAGAATGAGATGAATACATACCAGAAATCATATTTATTTTCTTTAAGTTAAAGTTATTGGCCCTGGCTGGCGTAGCTCAGTGGATTGACCATGGGCTGTGAACCAAAGTGTCGCAGATTCAATTCCCAGTGAGGACCCCCAGCAACTGCATATTGATGTTTCTTCCTCTCTCTCTCTATCTCCCTCCCTTCCCTCTCTATAAATAAATAAAAATCTTAAAAAAAGTTATTGGGGTGACATTGGTTAATAAAGGTATATAGTTTCAAGTGTAGAATTCTCTGATACATCATTTGTACATTGCACTGTGTGCACATCACCCAAAGTCAAGACATCTTCCTTCATTATGTATTTGCACCACTTTATCCTTTATCGCCTCCTCAGCCCCTTCTTCTAGGGTAATTACCATACTGTTGTCTGTGTCTATGAGTTTTATTTGTTTGATTTTCTTGTTTGTTCATTTGTTGCTTTCAGTTTATATCTCACACATGAGTGAAATCATATGATTCTTTACTTTTTCTCTCTGAATTATTTTGCTTAACATGATATTCTAAGATCCATCCAGTTGTCACTAATGGAAGTATTTAATCTTATCTTATGTCTGAGTAGTATTCCATTGTCTATATGTACCAAATCTTCTTTATCTAATCATCCACTAAAGGATATTTTGCTGTATTTATTTTTGATGGTGATAATTTCCCTTTCAACCTGGAATGCTCAGGCATTATTATAATGCCCATAAAGAACAAATACATATTTTGGAAAAAGTAAGAAAAAATGTGCTCAATTATGGAATTTGTATTCGATGAGTTTTATGTGAAGTTGAAAAACACATTCAGGAAATTATAATAAATGTGGTGGAAGATCAAACCATAAGTATAAAATCAAAGGAATTTGAAAGAACATTTGGAGAAGAAAAAGTACAGCAAGATGTGAATGATATTGTTATATATGCAGGAAACCTTTAAATGCTGTGTAGGATCATGTAGGATAACAGGCATAACAACCAAGTGAAAATGATGGAGTATTTTAATTTCAGCTCATCACAAGACATAGAATTTTAAGTTGTACATGGAATGATTTTCCCTTTATGCCCAGTGCCATTTCAGGTTTTAGTAAGTAGTCAGGAAGTGGCTCTGAGAATAATTGCTTAGCAGAAAAAGGTAGCTGAGGCATTTTGGAGGAACACAAGACATTAAAAAATGTTAAATGTATCCTTTCCCCTGCTATACATCCTTATTTTCCAATATTTTAGGAAGATTAAGTCCCAAGAGGTTTCACTGTGACAATTTGTTTTGTATGACTCAAGATGTGCATCTCAGTACATTGTGAGTTTACAGAGTGGTCCTGATTGAATAAGCAATTCTAACTTCTTTAGTATCTTTATGAGCTTTTACCACAGTACAAGTATATTATGCTCCCAGAGTTTACTCATATAATCACATGTTCATTTCTCCAGTAGATGTTACTGAGTACCTAGTCTGTCAAATGTCCCTTGTTTGCTTTTGCAAATTTTATTTTGCTGTGGAATAGACATGATAAAATAGTAATTAGATAAAAACCAGTAAAATATGTATTTTGTTGGAGATGTGAATAAATTTGATATTTCTGAGTCTTATAATTATAGGTAAAGGCATAGTTAATAGCATGACTATAGTTTTGAAGAATATGTCAAGTAGACATAAAATTATTGGAAGAGATCAAGCAACTTAGAGAAGAAGAAATTGTAAGGATTATCTTTATGTCTATCAAACCTCAGTGTCTAACCAAATAGAAGCCACACTGTGATACCTAAGTGCAGTGACCCATGTTTAAAGGGTTTCAGGTAGACTAATTTGACCATTTAGTGATGATGTAGTAGAAAGGTCTCCAGCATAATAAAAATAAAATAAATATAAAATATATTTCTACACAAGTCCCTATAAATACCAGATATATTATACCAAGAAAGGGTAAATTATACCAAGACTTTTAAAATTTGAATGATTAGGTCAATATGACTGATCAAGGGTATTATTTTTCCTCAGGAAATATCTAAAATATGGGGAGAGAAATATGTGACCAACTATAAGAAAGTCTCTAGAAAGGGAAATTAAAAAATAGCTACAGTAATAATAGTAAAATAAAAAAAGCGGAAAAATTTTAATGACAGTTTTGCTAGACCATGAATTTCCTTTTGAGTTTTAACTTCTCCTTGTAAAACTGGTTAGGTAGGGAAGAAATTATCAATACATATTTCCTCTAAGACAAGCATTTTAACTAAACTCATGTTGAGGCAAAAAGCTAGACTAATCCTTCTCATGATGCTAACTGTCTCTGAGGATACTGAGTCTTATCTAGAATATAACAGAGCCAACACTATGTTGTTCCTCCTTCTTTTATTATTCCATCAGCACAGATTTTAAACTTACTCTAGAATATTTGTATTAGTAAATTCTAGCTTTTGAAATAAGTAACAAATAAATGAAAGCAAGTACTTTGTACAACACTATGTATACTCACGTCTTTCAACATTTGCTCATTTTAACCTGCCTTATCCAAACTTTGCTTCTCATTTTTCTGAGTCACCTTTCCCATGTTGTCCACAGGAACCTAGAAAACCAGAGTGATGAGGTCACCTTCATCCTCTTGGGCTTCTCAGAGTATCCAGAGCTCCAGGTGCCTCTGTTCCTGTTGTTCTTAACAATCTACACAGTCACTGTGCTGGGGAACCTGGGCATGGTCATGATCATCAGGATCAACCCCCAAACTCCACACCCCCATGTACTATTTTCTCAGCCACTTATCCTTTCTTGATTTCTGCTACTCTACAGTGGTTACACCCAAACTACTGGAAAACTTGGTTGTGGGAGACAGGACCATCTCCTTCACAGGATGCATCATGCAGTTCTCCTTGGCCTGCATATCTGTGGTGACAGAGACATTCATGTTGGCAGTGATGGCCTATGACCGATTTGTGGCAGTGTGTAACCCTCTTCTGTACACAGCAGTCATGTCTCAGAAGCTTTGTTCCCTGTTGGTGGGTGCATCATACTCTTGGGGTATAGCTTGTTCCCTGACCCTCACCTACTTTCTAGTGCACCTAACCTTCAGAGGAAATAATATCATACATAACTTTGTCTGTGAGCCTGCTGCTATTGTCTCTGTGTCTTGTTCTGACCCTTACATTATCCAGAAGATCCTATTAGTGTCTGCCACATTCAATGAAATAAGCAGCTTGGTGATCGTTCTCACTTCCTACATTTTCATTTTCATCACTGTCATGAGGATGCCTTCAACTGGGGGGCGCCACAAGGCTTTCTCCACATGTGCATCCCACTTGACTGCCATCACTATCTTCCATGGGACCATTCTTTTTCTCTACTGTGTTCCTAACTCCAAAAGCTCCTGGCTTATGGTCAAGGTGGCCTCTGTCTTTTACACAGTGGTCATCCCCATGCTGAACCCACTGATCTACAGCCTCAGGAACAAAGAAGTGAAGGAGACAGTCAAAACTTTAATCAATACTAAATTGTTCTGTCAGGAAAAGTGAAGGTAGAATATGAATGGTTTCTTTTTAGAGTATTGGTACGAGTTATTCATTAATAAATCATCAGGTGAATCTGCAGTAACCTTGCAATTGATCTTCCAATATCTGTTCACTCTAACATTTAGTAAAATATCTTTAAAATCAGAATATAAAATTTTATGCCATAGTATCCATGACCAAGTAATTGTCCAGCTTAAATTTCAATTCAAGTAGGGCTTTTAAAGTGTGGGATTTGTGAGGTGATCTGAAGAGTTATAGCCTAAATTGTAGTAATTTTATAATTTATTTATAGATTATTTTGTATGTCGATCATGCATATTATATAATATCTGATTAAATGTATTGTGATTGTTTTGTTGACAATATTATTTCTTTTAATTTTTCTATTTTGCTTTGGTTAACTTCAGTGGTAAGAACTTGCATGTAATGTTGAACAAACAGTAAAAGTGGGCATCCTTGACTTCCTGATATACCCAAACAGCATTGACTATTGTATATTTGAAGTGTTGTTTGCTATATGTCTTTATAGATTTCACTTTCCCAAGCTTAGCAAAGTTATCTTCTTTATTTTTATTTTTTTGGTGAATGTTAATTTAAACTGTTTTTTCTTCATTTTACTCTTTAACATTTTAATTTGACACTTACATTTCTTTTTAGGTTTTCTAATATCAAACCAATATTTTTCTGAGAAAAAATAATTTAAATGTGATATAGTAAGATTTCCCATTAGCTGTTTAATGTGACAATGTTTTATTTAGAATTTCAAATTATAAGTTCATAAGGGAAATTGTTCTGTAAAATTCTTTTTTTTGTACTGTCCTTGTTAATTTTTGACATCAAAATTTTACTATCCTCTTAAAAGAAAATGGTAAAACTGTCTTCTAATTTAATTCCATAATTTTTTTTGCTTAATAGTAATCTCTGAAAAATAGGACAATTTTTAATTGCATAGGAATGTTTTCAATTTTGAATTCACCTTCTCTGCTGGTGGCAAGAAAATGATGATTTCAATTTTTGAGTCTTCTTTTTTGGAATTTTTTCTACTATAGCTAATTTTCTGAGTTGGTAGCACAATAGTTTTTATAACAGTCTCTTTCTGAAGTTGGTGGTATCTATATTTATGATAACTTTCAATTACTAATATTATTTTTGCCTTCCTTTCTTCCCCACACCCTGGTTGAACTGTATAAAAGTTTATTCAATTTTATAGGTTTGCTAAAAAAAAACCCCTAAAATCTGATTTTGTTGATCCCCTCTACTTTATATTTTCTATTTATTTCACTAATTTCATTTGTTTTCTTCTTTGTTTTTCCTTACTGAGATGGTTTTTTTACTGAAAATACCTGTAGCTCTGTATCTCAAGGTTTTGGATTTGTTTTTTCTTCATAGTAGCAGTGTCTTCAGTCTATGCATGGGCTATCTTAAAACAACAAGAGAGTCAACACTTCCAGGAATAGCTCTCAACCAACAATATAGGGTTGTAGGTACATAAATACCTCAACTTCTCTACTTACTCCTTGGACAAATTGGAAATAGAGTCTACACAGTCTTGCAGTGGGACTAAGATTCAGTTGTAGGCAAAAATAAATTGTTCATTATTCTGTGTCCCTCTTTTTTACTGAGCTGCTGGTGCTTCCTAGGATCATATTCTAAACAAACTACTTGTGTGTAAATCCTGGTCTCTGGGTCTGCTACTGAGAAACCCAAACCTGGAAGAGTGGAAAACATCTTGGAAACATATATAAGGCATGCATGCAATAACTATGAGCTCCTAAAAGCTGCACAAAAAGCCAATCGATACTGATCAAATAGCTTGAAAAACTTTAGGAGTATAAATCCATAATTCTGTTTTCTATATGCACCCAGTAGTAACAGATATATATTTGCACCAAAAGCAGGGAGCAATGGTAAACATGCTGACTGTGAATATCAAGTAAAAAATGTTGATTTCATACAAATTTCTGGAAGGATTACCAATGAGAACCAAAAATGGAAAGTTTATAGGTTTTAATCTCACAACCTGATGTGTCAAACTGATGTTTTTTTACTGATGTTTTCAGTAAAAACCCAAGTTTGTAAAGTTTTTGTTTTTGTTTTAAAGGTTAATCTTTAATTAATTACACATTTTACCTGCATGACATAGCTGCCAGATAAATGTGACATAATTGCAACTGTTTTGATTGAAATGTCTTCTAAACTGATTATTTTTCTGCTGTTCTTAACCCACTGTGTTTTTGTCAAATAAAATTTTCTAACTTCACCTTATACCATAAAAGTATACTACAAAACCTTGTCTTCTATGTGTGTGCAAGTAGGCAATTATAAAACAAAAGAACAGATATTTTACTTGTAATCTTTTTAATTGTTGTTAAAGTACAGTTGTCTGCATTTTCCCCGCAGCAACACCCCCAACCCAGGCATCCCCACCTCCCTGCCCTGATCCCCGCCGCCCCCCCGCCCCGGTTTTGTTCATGTGTCCTTTATAGTTGATCTCTTCTTTCCCCCCATTATTTCCTTCCACCTCCCCTCTTGTTACTGTGAGTTTGTTCTTAATTTTAATGTCTCTGGTTACATTTTTCTTGCATGTTTGGTTTGTTGATTAGGTTCTACTTAAAGGTGAGATCATATGGTATTTGTCTTTCACTGCCTGGCTTATTTCACTTAGCAAAGTGCCTTCCAGTTCCACCAATAATTGTCTTTAGTGATAAACTAGAATTTCCACATAACTTTATCATCATATTCACATCTGTTTAAGGGCCTCTATAGTACACAAAAGATGCATTATGCTCTTTTCACTTGCCTCCTCAACCACATGCAATTCTTAAAAAAAGAGAAAAAGAAACAAAATCTAAGTGCTGGTCTATAACCACTTGCTGGGTCTTTGTAAATCTCTGCTATACACTGCAGAAGCTGTACCTTGTCCCTCTGGATGGATGCTACACCTGGGCATAGCCTGTTTCCTTGTTGGGGTCCACCCTGCCTGGTCTCAGGAAGCTGTAACCCCCCATGGCTAAGGCTGAGTAAGAGGCCTCCAAACCAGGAGCCACTAAGGAGACAAAAACATTTCCTTGGCATGAACGCTGCCTGTTCTAATGCCTGGCTCCCTGACTGCTGATCACAGCAGTCAATGATGGGTAACAATTCTCTAAAAAAGGGGATGAACCTAAGACAGACATGGTCCCATGGGAATGCCCTAAGGGAAGAGACTCAGGGGGCTGTGGAAATGAAGGGGTATTTACATCCACCCCTGCCCCCTCAGCTTTGTCAAAGCCTGAGTCCTTGAGCAATCCAAGTCTCCTGGCTACCTTTTTCTCCTCTGCCTGACTCAGGCCTGCACAAATAACAGGGGTAGTGCAGTCCAGACCAGAGTCAGAGGACCCCTGGGGTAATCAGACCTGGGACATAGAATATGAAAGATCCTGTGAGGTCTGCCTGCTGGAGCATGCTCTTGAATTAGAATATGAAGGCACAGGCAGGAAACAAAACTGGCCTTTTAGATTCTATAGTATTTTTAAATGATAGAACCCCAAAACCTCAGCCTGCAATCCCAGTGGGAGATCTGCTAGCCCCTTTGAAAGCTAACTACTTGTTTTATCTTCCCTGAGAGACTGTAATCCACAAACTGTATCTGTATTCTTAATAAAAGCCTGCTTGGGCTGGAAACGGGGCGCTCTCCACTAGAGAGAGTGGCCATTTTGTCCCTATTTCTCCATAGGACTTGGTTGTCTGTGTGTATGTTTTCTTGTGTTTCAATGAGCATCTGCAGCTATGGATACTGCTGCCCAGTATTTACATTTCCTAACACTCAGTTTCTCATTTTATGCCTAACATAAGTCTGTCATAGTTAAAATATTTTATATAAGTATATTGTTTTCCTTTTGGATCCTGTTCATTTCATAAGGAAGTTCATAGTCATCACTTTGCTTTCATTTTTGTCACAGTCCTAAAGATACTTTATATCTGTGCTCATCTCTACTTGTGCCTTCCACTTCACCATCATCCTTTCTTTCTATGGTGTGTCCACTTCCAAAGACTCATGGGTAATTGTTCCAGTAGTCTCCATTTTTTACACCATGCTAATCCTCATGCTGAACTCACTGACATATGGTGTGAGGTACAAAAATGTGAAAGAACCTCTGAGGAAGTTAATAGGCTCCAAAATAGTTTAGCACTCAATCCCATTATGTTAATACTAATTTATTTAATATTAATAATTATATTTCTCTGAATTTATTTATATATCTATTGAAATGTCACCTCCTGACTTCTAGTCAAGATGGAGGCACAGGTAAACATGCTTTGCAACCTTGTGCAACCACAGAAAGAATTACAACTAAACCTGAAAACAAATAACACTCTGAACTACCAGAAAATCAAGCTATATGGAAGTCTGACAACCAAGGATTTAAAGAAGGCACACTCATCTGATGGGTAGGAGGGGAAGAGTTACAGAGACTGGTGGAGAAGTGTGGGACATGCCCTGGTGCAGAGAGGTGGCAGCAGTGAAATGGTGGTTCCACATTCATGTGCGGTGGACAAAAAGTGGGAGGGATACCTTGTAAGCAAGCAGTCTCAGCTGCATGCTTGACTGCCAGGGGAAGAGGAAGAAGAAGAAATTGAGAACTTACTTGAAAAAAAAAAAGAAAGGACACTTGCCTAATTTGGTGAAGGAAATAGACACAAGCCCAGGAAGCACAGAGAGTCCCAGGCAGGATGATCCCAAGGAGCACATCAAGGTACATCATAATTAAAAAGTCAAAGGTTAAAGATAAAGAGAGAATCTTAAAAGCAGTAAGAGAAAAGCAGATAGTTACCTACAGGAGTTTCCCATAAGACCGTCAACTGATTTCTCAAAGGAAACTTTGCAGGCTAGAAGGGATTGGCAAGAAATATTCAAAGTCATGAAAAGCAAGGATCTATGGTCAAGATTGTTCTACCCAGGAAAACTATCATTTAGAATCAGAGGGCAGATAAAGGACTTCCCAGACAAGAAAAAACTAAAG